CCTGCTTGTGTTCCCTCTCTCACTGTCTCTCTCTCTCTGTCAAATAAATAAAATCTTTAAAAAAAAAAAGAAAACCTCATTTATATTTGAGATGCTCCCTTTAGTCAGAATAAGAGGAGCCTAGGGCTGCACCATAGCTGGATGGGCAGGATGTTTACATTGCTGGGGGCATCGAGGGGGCAGTGGGTAGAGCTCAGGGCAGTAAACAGCACCCCCTTGCAGGGGCCCAAAGAATTTAGTGAAAAGCCACACAGGAGGGTAGGCAGTGTTGTGGCAACCCGCCAGGGCCGCTGAGGGACCCAGAGGAACAGCAACAGGAAGCCAGGACCACCTTTAGGACCAGAGGCACAAGGGGGAGGTAGGGTCACCCAAGTCCTGTGGGAGCTGGAGTCACGACGGAACCCCGTCCCCCCATAGGAGCCACCGCCAAAAATGTTGCACGAAGCAGAGAATGGTAACAGAGAAATATCCAACCCCTACCTGCTGCTCCTGGCTGACCCCCAACAGAGCAGCCATAGGTCATGGAGGGACCCCAGGGCCGGCAGGGATCGGCCTCCAGAGGACAGGGCAGAGACTGTATCTGAGGATGAAGAACCAGCCGTGTAGGTCCCTTTGTGGAGAAGGAGCCCTTTCCTGTAAAATGGGGACCCTGGTACTCGCTGTCAGCCTGCTATCGATCAAGAGAGATCATGCGTCAACTCTGATGGTAGGAGAACACATTTTAGTTTAGGAACAAGGAATAAACAGGGCGTGTCTGTTTATCCTCAGTTATGAACGCACTTCCCATGTTGCCTTTTTCTGCAAATGGGCAGGCTGGATTTCTCAGAACATCACCATCTGCAGGCATATTAATTCTCCCAGTGTTTACCACGGACCCGCTCCCATCCTTCTAATTTCAGAAAATGGTTCTGGGCATGAAAGGCCACCACGTTCCACTTCCTCAAGCAGCCTCCAGCCATTCACCTTGGCTGTTTCTTGGTGGACACGGAACCAAGCTCTGGAGAAAACAAGGGAGTTAAAATAATGGCAGAGTCAAGATTCCTGTCGGATGACACCATTTATTGAAAGGCAATCCTGCTTTATCCAGTTCACGTACATGGAGGTAGCTGCCCACAACATCTCTTCCCCATGACAAACCAAAGCAATCAAACATCCCCAAAGCTGAAGCACAACAGAATAAAGCTTCTTGCATTTGTCAAAGGACACTCCGAAGCAGGAAAAAAAAAAATTATAAAGATATACGATGATTGTCTCCTCGGCATTGCATTAGGCCACATATTGGTTTATTAAATAAAATATTTTCTTTTTTTTTTAAGCTAGCTAAATATTCTTGAGTAGGGTTAGTTCTTAAAATAATAAACAGGAAAGAAAATGAGTATATAATAAAATCAAAGAATGATAGCATGTCAGAGCTGGAAAGGACCTTGAGCCATGGTCCTCATGTATTCCAGGCAATCTTGCGCTCTGAGAGCACACGCCCCGTCCCCCATCAAGGTCACCCCCGTCAAGGTCACTGGGGCAAGAAGAGTGAGGACTTGAAAACATCTCTCAAGGCCCAGTCCGATGTTCTTCCCACCCTGCTACCCCACACGCCTCACCTCCAGCACCAAGCCCGTGTAGGCTGATGCCTTTGTTAACATTTACAACGGCCCATCTTTTACCGTGAGGATGCAACCCTCTGAACAGGGATCTCTTTTCTCTTTCCATGGGCACTTTTGCCTCTTGCAGCCTGGTGACCACGAGGAACTGCCAGAAACAGTGACTTTCTCACAAACCTCAGATAGACACTCGCCCCACCCCATCCCTCCGCCAAGTTCTTGCACCTCTGACCTTCTCCTGTCCCACCTGTAGTTATGAGCGGGCTGAGGCATCTGTGGGCAGACTTCTTGGCATATAGCTAATGACAGTGAGTGGAAGCAGCAGGGAAATCAGAAATATAGTGAGGGTCGGAGAACCCCCGGGGAATTCCAGTGAATCAGGCTTGTTGTGTCCCCAAGAGGACAGAGGCGCTCCAGGGCTGGGTACGGAGGGGCTAGGCCTCGGTGTCCGTTTGTAGGACTACTGTCCTGCACTCTAGGAGGGCATTTGGGTCTGTTTTATTCACTGCTGTATTCCCAGTGTCAAGGACTGTGTCTGACACATGGTGGACGCCCAATCAATATTGGCTCAATGAATGAATGGTGAAAGGGAGCAATCTCTCTGCACCTCAAATGAGTAAGCAGAGGCAAGAACCACTCCAAGCCAGCAGAGGTGGGGCTCCCTGTCCTGTTAGGGAGGCAGGGGTGGGGTGACACCTGCCCTTAAAGCAGGCTGATCACTCTGAATCCTGTTCAGTGGGCTCTGAGCCCTGGTGTAGCTAGAGCACTGAAGCTCCCTGCTCCTCACGGTAACTGTCATGGAGTTCTCTGGTCCATGGGCTTCCCGTCTCTTAGGATACCTGGGGATACTGCCAACCCAACTGAACACGATCCTCTCCGCCCCCGTATATAGACACATCCTACGAGGTTCTCTCCCTGGCCGTGGCCCTACTGAGCTGCCTGCTCTACACCCTGGCCCTGACCTGTGGGCGCCCGGCTGTGCCTGGACTCGGCCTCTGGGCATCCATGGGACCAGTGGCAGTGGGAGGTGACACCAGGAAGGCCAGGAGGAAGTACTGCAATACTACAAGACTGCAAGTTCCCAATTCCACATTCCCTGTAATGCTGCCCCAGCAGTGTGACCTCACCCAATTCCGCTTCCTTCGTGCCTGGTGCCGGCCCACGGCCCTCCTCCGTCCCAGGAAGCCAGAAGGAGCCTTCCAGTCTGCACCTCCTGACTTTTTTCCCCTCACTTTCCTGACATAAACTCGAGATCCAGCTCAACATACCCCTTGTCTACACATCCCCCAGCTTTCACGGACTTCCCTCTTCCTTCCTCCCCACACTCACACGGGCCCGCTTACCCCCTCTCCTCCCTCCCCCCATGACCTTCCTGGACACCGCCCGCCTCTTCCTCACACCCTCCCACTCCCTACCCAGCAACCATCGGCCAGAGGAGGCTACCTGGAGGCCTGACGCGGGTGGACAGGAGGAAAGGACCAGTAAGAAACGACAGGAGGACCCCAACCCTCCAGAAACCACATGATTTGTCGAAACCCTTATTTACGAGTCTCCCCACCCCAACTGTGGAAATGAAATTGCAGTTGGTGACTGGGAATTGGTCTCAGCATGGTTCAGAAATTGTAACAACATTCTAGATAAAATAAGTAGGCAGGGCCACAGATACCCATGACCTTCTGACTTTCTCTCCCTCCGTAAGTTGTTCACCAAGACCACTTGAACTTCTCTTCTCGGGATTAACTGTCCCTTATCACCACGACAATTCCTTTTTTCCAACTCTGATGTCAAAAGTAGTCTGTATTCTACCCTCTCTCTCTCATCTCTATGTCTTCATCCTTAAAACCTCGTAGCTCCATGTTTTAAAAAATAAGAAGAAAGATGTGTGGAGTTTACAAACAAGCCATCCTACAAGCTTCTGTAACATTCCACAGTGGAACAGCTGCAGCCCAGGAGAATCTGGATTCAAATATGTGCAGTCTATGCATCATCTCCTCCCCCGCACAATGGCTATTAAATAACAACTAGTAGCCTTTTGGACCCTTCTCCTTGGCCAGGGAGGGAGGAGGGCGTAGGAGCACTGTTGCGAACAGTGCGGCGGATAGCTATGCAGAATCCGGGCTTCCTCCCACTGAAATAGAGCCTCCAAACCCACAGTGAGTGGTGGTTCCTATGCCTCAGGCGCCAACATTTAAACTGCTACCTGTCCGAGCGAGGAGAGGTGCGCTACCAACTCAGAGACCCCGGGAGGAATGCAATGTGGAGGAGTCGGCCTGTTCTGTGACGAGGAGGTGCACGGGTCTCAGGTCTCAGCTCCGCATAGACGCTGCCTCTCCTGCTCTCCGCTGCGGGTGGCTGGCTGCGGGGCCCTGCCAGGCATGACGGGCCACCGCAGCCCCGGAAGGGGCCTCACATCTGGCTGGTGGCGGCGCTGTCCTTGGGGAAGCTGTGGCTCAGCGGCACCTCGTGGAGGCTCCCCCCATCCGTACTGAGGTCATCATCGTCCGTGTCGTCCAGCACCTTGCTCGGCAGCTTCTTAAGTCTGCCGAAACAACAGGGGGCATGTGTCCCGGCCCTGGGCTGCAGTTTGTCTCTGATCGGGGATGAAGGAAGGGTCTGGGGTTCCCATCTCTCCACCCCTCTGGCTGCCACGGAAGCACATGAACCGGTCTGCACCTGACAGTTCCTTCAGCAACAGGGAGCAAACTGCCTGCAAGCGGCCGGTGTTGCCAGGAAGGGCTGGACGGGGCTGGAACAAGTTCAGTAGGGCTGATTTTTCCTTTCGCCTCAAGCTACGCTATGTCTCGTCAGGGTGCTGTTATTGATCCCATCTTAATTAAAAATTTTGATATCTTGTTTACCATGGGTTGTTTGCATTCACTTTATATAACAGCGCATGAATTATCTATCTTGATTACCAAGATTTTTGGTGCCCCCTTAAATGGTGCACCCTAATGCCAGCCCTGGGGCCAGGCTCTTAATAGACAGGCCCTATTTATAGGATTCTCAACGGGCTGGGGTCTTCTGTCCATTTACAAGAGAACCACCTGGGCTACCTGCATAGTCAGCCTCTGAGAAAGGCTCAGCTCTATGGATGAGCATGAACTTAATCTCACCCTGTACCCCAGTGACCCTGGGGCAGGGAAAGTGACCCCCACCCCAGGCCCCTTCCAGTCACAGCAGGGGGACTTTAGAGGCAGCTCTCTCCTGAGACCAGGCCCAAGAGAGTCTAGTCTTCAGGGGATATGAAGCCAAACCTTATCTTATTTCTCCCTAAAAGCAGGACTCCTAAGGGCTGGTCTAGAGGCTGCCCCCTCCAGGGTGGTATGAGCTAGGTCTCCTGCTCTGAGCCTCAGTTTCCCCTTATGGACAAGAGGGATGGAATCTGTCTGGCTGACAGCAGGGGATTGGTATGGGGATGACACATGTGGGGTGACCGAAGTGGATGTGGCCACTCTCGACTCTAGGATGGGATAACCCCGAGAGGCAACAACAAGGAACTGGCGTCAGACATCAGCAGTAAGCGTGCCCTGACAGTGTCGAGCTCTCCTCAAATGTCAGGGGGATCACGGTCCCTGCGGGGCCACCACACTCGCCCACCTTAGGTCCTTCTTCATGGCATTGAGCTGTCCCTGTAGCTGCTCGTTCACATCCATCTGCTCCTCCAGCTCCCTCTGCAGCTTCTTTTTAGAACTTTCTAGTCTGTCGATCTCCTCCTCAGCCTCCTCCACTTGCCGCTTCATGGCTTTCAAGCGCAAGCTCAGCTGCATTGGGAGAGAAGGCAGGTTGAACGCCCGCTGGTCACCCAGCCCAGCGGGGATGGAGAAGAGTCCAGCACAGAGAGGCCTGCAGTCCAGCCGCCGTCCTCCCCAGGCGACCAAGAGGTGGCAAAGAGAGCAACCGGTCTCAGCTCCGGGGCTGAGGGTTGCTGAACCCCCTGCTAAAGTAGGCTAGAAAGGCCCCATTGTTCTACAATGTACCTGGGGAGAGGGGAAGACAGGACTCAGTCTCTACAACTCTATCACCCGCCCACCTGGGGCGGAAAAATCTGAGAATAAGGGTCCCTCACCTGGTCCTTCTGATCAGTCAGTGACAGGTGCTCATCATCCACCTGCATCACCAGCTCTTTCACCTTCCGCTCCAGCCGGCGGTTGCTGAGCTGGAGGCTGGCCCGGTCCCTAGAAGGGCAGGGGGAACAGAACCGAGGACCCTCTCATCCAGCCCCACAGGAGGCCCTGGCCAGGCTGTGGAGGCAAGGAAGCTCCAGCCAAGCGGCCTGGTCAACTCGTGGCTTAGGGTCGGAGACATGCAGTGGTCAGTCCGGGAAGAAACGGGGGCTCCATGAAGGGGAGCGACTTGCCCGAGGCCGCAGAGCCAGCGACAGGCAGAGCTAGGAATGGAGCTGCCCTGCGTTCTTCCAGTCCCAAGCTTTACTTTGTAAGGCAGAGGGCCCCTGACTGCCCGAGTATGAGCGGCGTGGGTCTACTCCAGGCTGCTCCAGCCCAGCCCCAAAGTCCTACTAGGAACAGATCATGTACAGTGCTATATGCACGCACACCTCACCCCTCAGGGGCCAAGGGTAAGAACGGAGGCCAGTCAGGCTCAACCGGGTGCTGGCTGGCCCTCGGGCTATGATCTTGGAGCCAGATGCAGAGAATCTCCTGGAAAGGAGGGAGGCCCTCTGATCCCAAGCGTCTTCCACCCACTGTGGGGGTCCTGCCCATTTCTGAGCCAGCACTGGGCCTCTGCTCCAATACCTCTGGCCCCTGGGGTAGAGTGGACCCCCTGCCTCTAATCCAGCTCAAACTCAGTAGCTGATGAGGCAGCCTGTCATTCCGAGGGGTGGAAAGGAGCAGCCAGCACAGCGCGGAAGCTGTGGGCTCAGGCGTGGGACGCCTGCGCTAGAGTCCGCGGGCCAATATTCAGCCCTGCTACCTTCCCCAGTACTTACTGGCACTGGTCTTGCTTTTCTCGCCTATTGTACTTGCTCCACCTTCCTCACAGGAAGGCTCATAAGGACAGGAAGAGGCACAAATGGGAATGTGCTCTGGAGTGTGGACACCACTGCTCACCGGGCCTCCGCACCTTGGCTGGCCAGGCTCACCTCTCCTCGCTCTCCAGACGGTCCTCCAGCTCAGCGATCCTGGCCTCCAACTGCACCACCAGCCCCTCTTTGCTGGACCTGTAGGAGCCTTCCAGGTGGATAATCCGGCTCTTTAAGTCCTTGTTCTAGAATCAGACAGGGATGCTGTGAGGGGTTGTGCGTCTGCCGTGCTCTCTGTGCAGAGTAGAGTACAGGGTGGAGCCAGCACGTGGTCAGCAACTGTGATGAGCCCGCCCTCCACACGGGATGCATGGCCCTGGGGGACCAGGGGAAGCCGGGCATGTCTCTAGGGACAGGCCTTGCACTCCACTCCTGGCATGCTGAGAAGAGATTCTACCACATTCCCTCCTGAGCCCAAGTGAAATCTTTGGCCGTCGTAGGACTCCTGGATGTCAGGCAAACACGCATGGCCTTGTTTTTGTATAAACCTATGGCGGGGAGGTGGGGATGGCAGGAGAAACAGGCTCCTTCACCAAGATCATATAGGATATTCAGTGAAGAATTTACATGAATAGCATGTAAAAGAAACGATTCCAAAACAAAATAAAACAAAACAAAAAAAAGAAACGATTCCAATAAGCTCTGTTGGCAACTCATGGCCCCCATTTTTCATTCCCTTTATGTCAGAATTTAGCCCTCTTAGGATCTAGAAGACGCCACCCGCAATTCCTCCTCCCTAGCTGTTCAACCTCCAAGCAGATTTAATATTATTGGGAAAACGTCTCTGGAAAAGGCCTTCAGAACACCTCCACCTCTCAGGTGAGTTAGGCCCCAGAGTTCTTGGGGTGCCATGCAAAGGAGACCCCACCGAGGGGGTCTAATCCAAGACCAGCCTCACCTGCCTCTCCAGAGAAATCTTGTCACACTCCAAGTCCTGCTTGACAGCTCTCTCCTGCAGGAGCTCGCTCCTCATCTGCTCCATCTGCACCAAGGAGAACAAAGCCCAGCAGTTAGAGGGGCTGTCTCTGTATCCTTCGTGTTGATGTGGTCCCTGGGTACCGAATTCCAACCACCAAGCCAGCTTCTCTTCATCATGCCATCTCCTCTTGGGGGCAGGAGCTGTTTCTTAGATATTCTTGGTTTCATGATGATTGCAAAGACAACGTTACAAACGACGGTAACGGTCATAGCAAACCCTGCTGTTATGGGCTGAATGGTTGGCCCCCCCAAAAAGATACACTGAAGTCCTACCTCCTGGTACCTAAGATATGACCTTATTTGGAAACAGGGTTTTTACAGAGGTAACCAAGCTCAAATGAGGTCATTAGGGTAGGCCCTAATCCAATATGACTGGTGGCCTTATAAAAAGGGGAAATTTGGATTCTGGGACAGACATGCAGCCAGAAAAGACAGCCACGTGAAGAGAGACACACACACAATGCCACGTGAGGACAGAGGACTGGAGGAAGGCATCTATGGTCAGGGAATGCCGAAGAGCCAGAAAGCTGCCCGAAGCCCGGAAGAAGCAACAGAGAATTCTCCTACAGGTCCAAAGAGAGCAAGGCTCTGCTGATACTTTGATTTCAGACTTTTGGGCTCCAGAGTTATGAGATAATAAATTTCTGTCCTAGGCCACCCCATTCGTGGCACTTTGTTACAGCAGCTCCAGAAAACGGAATCACCTGCTTAGCACTCCACAAGCACTATTACTGTCCCCACAACAACCCCAGGAAGTAGGTAATCCTATCTCTGCGGAGGGCACTGGGGTGTAGAGAAGCTCATCAACTTGCATGGTGCTCAACCATCCCGGCCAACTCGCCCAACTCGGAGGATGTTCTCGGGGCACAGGACTTCCGATGCTAAAACTAAGCATCCGGGCATCATTCGTCCGGGGATGATTCAGTGATCCACCTTGCCCGAGATCTACACAACTAGTAAGAGGGGGAGCAAGCACTCATCTGAGTTCCTGACTGCTGCAGGGTAAGTTCAAACTTTGGGAAAGGCTTCTACACTTAGCATATTTCAGACGCTGCTAGATTTCTCCCTTTGTGTACCAGAAACAAAAGTCAGCAAGAACACTGGGCAGCTCTTGGTGATCTGGCAAAGGCTAAACATTACTGAGGATTTTGTCTATGTTAATAGGAAATGAGCCTTGGGGTGCCTGGGTGGCTCAGTCGTTAAGCATCTGCCTTCGGCTCAGGTCATGATCCCAGGGTCCTGGGATCGAGCCCTGCGTCGGACTCCCTGCTCTGTGGGAAGCCTGTTTCTCCCTCTCCCACTCCCCCTGCTTGTATTCCCTCTCTTGCTGTGTCTCTCTCTGTCAAATAAATAAATAAAATCTTAAAAAAAAAAAAAAATAGGAGATGAGCCTGGTGGAGCAGTACCCAGAGAGAAATCCCGTGGCCTGCCTCTGTTCCCCAATCCCCAGCGGGCTTTCAGCAGCAGTGACATGAACCCCAGACCCTGTTCCCAGGACTGTCCAGCAGAGGGCAGCCTGAAGAAGCTGGGAGAACTGACCGCGTGAACCAGTAAAATAAAACCACCCCTTCCTTCATAAGGTTCAGCCTGGGTAAGAGGTGCACCCACGAGTCCCTGGATGCCCGGGGTACACCTGTAACAGTCTCACTGGCCTGGTCTCCACTTGCATTTTCACCACCTGCACAAGCACCTGAGTAAAGGAAAAGCCCACCCCTCCCCCACCCTCTGCCTGGAGAGCAAGACCTTGCGGGGTGAGCCAGGGATAATAAGAGGAAACGCTGGGACAGGCTTGCATCTGCTCCCATCTCCCGCTGTCCCTGCCACAGTGCATGCAGGGAATGACAAGCAGCGTGGTGTGGGTGGCCCAGAATGGGTGACAGGGAGGGCTGAGGAATGAGGCTGGTGATGGGCAGGACCTGGACCTGGAGAGGCTGGGACTCTGCCCACAGGTGAGGGAGTATCTGTGTGGTCAAAACAAAAAAAACGCTGACACTTTTGCATTTCTGGCCAGCAGGCTTCTAAGTCAAGGGAATTCAGAATTCTACAGCAGGGGACACTGACACCGAGGGCAGGGATACATGTGACCAGAGAGTGCAGAACTAGAACCCAGGCCAAGCCTACTCACAGCCCACTACTCCGCCTGCCCTGGCTCTCTGGACCAACTTAGTGCAAAGGCCTCACACGGATCTAGGGTTCAAATACAGCGGTCATGTAAAAACCAAGACCTGGGAAGAAGGCAATCTCCTTAGGGCACCCTTGTACGCTGCAGGGAAAAAAGTGCCAGCAATGCTAAGGGTCAGCCAGCAGAGCAGGGAGAATTCCGTCCGTGGCCCGGCTCCCACCCAGCCTGGCCCCAGAGCCCTCGAGAATCACCTGTTACAGAGGTGCTGGAATATTCCTGTAACTGCCACATGAGCACAAAGTCCACAGCTAACGAATGCGGGCTCACAGCCCCACTCTGAGCACGGCCTCCAAACCGGCCGACGCAGCACACGGAGCACGGAGGACGTCAGCACGGCTGGGCCACGGGACTGCCATGTGCCTCCCGGGGGAGAGTGTTCTGTTCACCAGAACACGGTTAAACTGTCACTGTGATGGGAAGTCATTCCACAGCCGAGCAGCGGAGGCCTGGCTTCTCCTCTGGCTCTGAGTTCACTTGTGTGTGACCTCAGCCACCTCACCTCCGGGATGCAGACTCATTTCTAACACAAGGCACTTGAACGAGATAGCCTGTGAAGGCCCTTCGAGGTGGCTGGTCACACAGTGAAAGCACATTCTGGTGGGTGCAGAGTGGCTCTCCCCGTGAGGAAGCCAGAGGCCCCTGCCCCCATCCTCCGGCCAGAGTAGCCGCCCCATCTCTCCAGACACTGAGGAGTGTCCCCAGAAAGGACATGAACGTACTTGCGTGCTGGGGGACAGCTGGTCTTGGAATGACGGGATAGGTGACAGGATGAGTTCGCTCCTTCGACGTTAGCAGCCCTAGGACACTGACAAAGACCAACACAGGACCTGCCCTAACTGTAGCCTCACGGGGGACAAACGAGTAAGTCCCATATGTGTGGCGCATGGCAGTGGTCACAGCCCAGGCATAGAGGGCCAGGGAAAGGGCCCCTCAGCTGTGACCCACCTGAGAGGCCAGGCTCAGGCAGGGTAGAGAAAGGGGCAGGAGAGGGAACACAGCTTCCCAGACCAGGGCCACCAGTGAGTCAGAGTGGGAGGTAAGCAAGAAGATGGGGTGCTCGAGAAACAAAGCACCGGACTAGACATGCAGGGGCAGGAGACAGGCAGGTTAAGAGAGAGGGGACAGGGAGCAGTCCCATGGGGCCTGTTACTACATGGTGACCAGAGAGCTTGGATTGCACTTACTAAAGGAAGTCTTAAGCATTTTTACAGTGCTGTTCCTTTAGTCCTCCATCCCCCCACCCCCTTGGAGGAGGTAGGTCCCGTACCAGCCCCATCTACCCCTAGAGTCCAGGAGAGGCTGCAGACAGGTGCAGAGACGGGATGGCACCAGCTGAAGCCACGGGCCTGATGAGCTCCCCAAGGAGAACTGTATGAAGAATGAGGAGGCCCCAGAGCTGTGCCCTGCGGAGCACTCCCCCTAGGGGAGACTGGGACGAAACCAGGATACTGCCCTGTCCTGTAAGCCAAGAAGGGTGAGGACTGAGGAAGGTCAGGCAGAAGGAAGCCTGGGGAAAAGTGCCTGAGCTGGACAAGAAGTCGGCTCTGGAAGGCTCGGCAGAGAGGTGAACCCAAGTGCAGAAACTGGGAAGGTGCCGGGCACGAAGAGGTGGAAAAACGCCTTTCCTCGAACTCCAGCGGTGACGAGATGACAGCTACAACTGGAGGGCTGGGGATGTGAGGGCCCCAAAGAGGGCTGTAATAGAGGCGCCCCACACCTATTAGCAGGCGAGGGTGAGAATCACGGAGAAGGGAAAAGTTACAGACGCTGGACAGTGACGAGAAGGGAGTTGAACAGGGAGACTGACTGTGTATGGGGAGGGACAGGATGTAGGCCTGGTGCCGGGGGCAGCATGGAGTGGGGGAGAACTTTCTCTGAGCCTCTGAGAGACAGCATAATGCAGGACTTAAGGGAGGCAGGCTCCTGTAGCTCAGCGGCATGGGAGGGAGGGAAAGGAGCGAAGGGAGGGGAAATTATTTTTCCAAAAGTGGGGGATAAGGAAGAACTGTGGGCTTGTAGAGAGAGAAAGAAATTTAGAAATTTAGTTGTGAGGCATTAGGCTGAAAAATACCAAAAGACAATAAAAGGCCGGCAGAGTGGAGACAAGGGTGTGGTTGTAGCTGTATATGGCATCTGCTTTTAGGGGGTCAGGTGGTGGTTTCTGCAACTGTGCTCCAGGCCTGAGGACCGAGGAGGGAAACATCAAGAATCAAAAGCCCCGGGTGACATGCCCGGGGCAACTGCGAGTGTCCTGGGCACGTCTGGGCCTATCAATCCTCCTGCCACTCTCTGAAGCAGATGTTATCACCCCATTTTCCAGGTGGGAGGTTCAGGAACGTTGGACGCAGCTTTGGGATTCTAGCCCAGGCTTTCTGGCTGAAAATCATTCACTCCTTTTCTCCCTCTCGGCAAACGTGGAAGACCCAGGTCTCTCAGTGAAGGGCAAATCGTACAAGGCAAGAGCGTTCGGGCAGGGACTTCCACAGTGGAGTGAGGCAGACAAGCTGCAGGGAGGGGCTCCGGGACCACCAAGGGGCCATGCAGCGCTGGGCCCAGACGGGAGTTCAGGAAAATCCCTGTGACTCCAAGCAGCAACCAGTGGCCAAGTCTAGCTCCCTCAGTGCCACTGACTGGAAAATCTGGGTCCTGCCAGGACACGGGCCTCCCAGTGCACAGGAGGGCTCAGGGGGGCAGCATCCCAGAGGTCTCCTCAGGTTCAAGACCTCCCTGGAGGGGCACCTGGGTGGCTCAGTTGGTTAAGCGGCTGCCTTCAGCTCAGGTCATGATCCGAGGTCCTGGGATCGAGCTCCATGTTGGGCTCC